CCTTCTTTGGTTTCCCCTTGTCTGGTCGTTTTGCTTTTGCCCTCATTCGGGTTTTGAACACAGTGTTTTCTTTCCTTTTGGCTCTCCTATCTCATTCCCTTTACTTTTTTCGACCTTCTAATCATGTACCAATCACACACTCGTTCCATCGGACTTCCACACCCTTTGTTTCTCCGTTTATTTCGCGATCTCACTTACAGACCTTGTGGTGTCGAGATCTACGGTCTCCGATCCCCTGGCCCAGGTCCTTGGGATCATATGGTAATTTCAGATGTGCAAAGTGCACTGTAGTGTGCGTACCAAGAACCAAGAAAATGTGACCGTTTCGTGAACGCCTATCCAGTAGTGTAGTCATCCTTGCTGCCATCATCATTATGCACATGATGGCATCTTTGCTTCCTTTACCCACTCTGTCATTGCCTGTAAAGTCTCCTGCTGGGTACATACATACCTACCCAGTACACTACGTTGTGATGGCCCATGGCCGCGCATATTACTTTCCCCCTCACTTTGCTATTTTCTCTTCGGTCCCGGAAGTGTGGTTGTGGCTTGGGTTACGAAATCCATTCTCCTCCTTCCTCTTCCGGGGTAAGTCTTCCTCTCATCTACACTACCAAGGGGGCACTCAATGGGCAATTAGCATACAAACGGGTACCGACTTGCAACTTCAGGCTGCCGACTACTATGTACAACTAACTGTCGGATACTCGACATCAAGTGTAAGTTGTGAGTGAGTGTCTCTCAATCACCATACAGGATAAGGAAAAGATTGAAGATAATTGTGAGACCCACAGTTACTCCGGACACTCTCCCTATACTGATAGATGACTAGTGTTTTGCTCTCTGGTGAGCCCGTTTTCGTTTGTTCACATGACTAGAGTCTTGACAGGCTACGAGGAGTGAATGTGTGAACGGAACTTCATTTTAGAGAAGTAAGGTTGAAGTCAAGTCAGGAGCGGCGAGGTGAAATGCTTGTTTTTTTTTGTATTGGAGATTGTAAAGATGCCTCTGCCTCAGCTACTATGTACATACGAGAAGTTGCATAAGCTACGTGTCCATAACGTGTGACGCCTCAAGAAGTCATAGCAAGACACAGAAACCCCTGAGTTGTGTCCATAGTACACTAGATATCGACTTCCCACTCATGGACATTCGCAGGTTGATCTACTCCAAGACTGCTCGGTGGCCCCGTAAACAGTGTGAAGTCCTCTCCGGTGAAGTCAAGAGGCAGGCAAGTACATTTACATACCCTTTAACGCAGATACTCCCTCCATATCGCATATCGAAGGCAAGACAAGTTCGCCACCCACTCTGTTCACATCCACAAAAGAGTGTTAGTGTTTCATTTAGATGCTTCGGCGTGGACTGTGAATATTACAAGTCCTTTTGCCACCGGGCCGTTCAAAGGTACATACGTACCGCTAGAAGGAGAGAGAGTGTGTGTGGGTAGTCAGTCATGAGAGATCATCAGTTTCTGCTTTCCTCGAGTATTGGATCTGAACGTTTGGGCTTAAAGCCATAGGTATTGAGATACCTACACTAGAACACCAGACTACTAGTTGTTCAGCTATCTATACAAGTTAGTGTGGAGCATCAACCAAGGGGCGAGATAGGCGTTCGTATCGCCTTAGCCATGAGTGTGCTATCACGAGTTTCGCCGGCCCATTCCACTGGTCCCATTGTGAAATCCGTCGACAGTCTTGCCTTGAGGAGACCTGGTCCTTGAGTAGTCCCAGCAGACCGACCGACCCCCGATCTTGATATGATGTCCACAACGTGTGAGACTCTAGGCTCTAGCCCCAACACCCCAACACCCTTGATCCATCATGAGAACGGACCCCAATGTCCATTAGCAATTTCTAGTAAAGATCACCTATCCCAGTGAACTCCCGTCAACGATTCGGTGGACCTGTTCCCCATTGTCAGTTGCCACCTCCTTCCTTTAGTCCTTTCCTCCATGCCCCCCCCCCTGATCCATTCCTCAAACGCCCTCATTACAAAACACGACAAATCAGACTCCATAATCCCCACAAACACAACAGCCCTCTCCCAGCCCAGGTCCTATCCCAGAAGAAAGGTTCAACGGCTAGCCGGCATCTTGAGATCCTGATCGGCTCAAACTGGAAAGTCACACACGAACGGTGACTAGTGTAGTTCTTCACCAGAACCACTTTACCTTCTCAAGCGTGCACGTCCAAAGGGGAGTTACCGTTTGTAGCGATCGCCGTCTTGGCTGCAATTTCTCAAACTTTTCTGCTTGTGTACCGAATTTGCGAGCTTGCACCACTATGGCCAGCAGCTCCTGCCAAGTCACGCTATAGACCAATCAAATCAATGGATTCCAAACATTTTTGGTCTCATGCTCGAAGTTCCAGTAGAAAGATAAGGGGTGACCTTGCTTCTGGCAGAACCGTTTGGAAGTTTGGGGACATCTGGGTAAACCAACAACCACCCCATGTCAGTCAAGTACTGAAAACTCCAGACCTGTCATAGAACAGTTGGAGCCGATCAGGGCAAGCGGCTCAGCGCAGATCCCCATGTGTCCATTCGGTGAACTTTGGTACCGTTGCTGAGACGTGATTCTTGTTCATCCGAGACTTTGTTGTGTCTTTGTCTCTCTTCTCTACCACACGGGCGGGACTCTTCCCACTGCCAGGCTGTGACTGTTTCTGCTGCTGCTGCTGCTGCTGCTGCAACAGCTGCTCAAACTTGTCCTTGATAGGACTTACATTCCCAACCATATGCTGCTGCTGGTGGGAGGTAGTTCGGGGAGGTATCGCCGGTCCTGATCCGAATCCAGGTCCCAGTCTCGGGCTTGTGGTCGTCGTCATTGTCGAATTGTATTGGTGGTAGGTAGTGCTGGTCATTTCTCCGAGCTCGTAATTTCCGCTGCCAATGTCTTCGCCGCCGACGCTTGTCTCGTAGTGGCTGGGTTGGTCCACTTGAACTGCAGAGGAGGTGGCGGCCGCTGTCGCTGTCGCTGCCGTTCTGCTGTTGCGCTTTCCTAGCCAAATCACCGAGCCGGTGGAGTTAGATGGAGTGAGGCCTGTGAGGTTACTTGATCCCAAAGAAGTACTAGTGAAGGTTGTGGTCGAATCTTCTTCGGTGGGGCGTGTTGATGATAGGTTGGCCATGGATCCTTCCGCCGTTGGGTGCACTGTTGACGTTGAGTTACGGTCGGGCAAGTCGATACCATTCGTACCGGCTGGTGGTTGCTCTGAAGCAGCACTGGCCGTTCCCAGCACCTCAGCCTCGCCCTCGATATACGAAAAGATGCGCCGCTGTCGTGGATTTACGGCTGTGGATACGTCCCCCGTTTCGATTACGAGATTGTTGATATTGCGCCTTTGAGACAAGCTACGGCTTGCCTCCCGTGAGGCCGTACTCGCAGTGGAGCTACTGGATGTAGAGGGACTGTATAATTGGCCGTTTACGGAAACCACATGCTGATTTTGACTCGATCGAGGGCCACTGTGCGGCTTTGTGGGCGAGGGAGATGTTGGCGATGATGAGTCAACGAGAGTCTCTTCTACACAGGTAGGAGGAGTATCCATAGATGGTTGCAATTGTGACCTACGCCACCGCTTGTCCTCCATCGCTCGTTTCTTCACCATTTGACTGATGCGAGCATCATTGTCCACCGGAAGGATACGCAGAGAGCTCTCTGGGAAGCCGCCAAAAAGAAAAAGTCAGTAAATTGCATCGATTATTGATAGAATATACCCAACGAGGTTCCGTACCTCTGATCCCAGACTGAGTTCTGTCTCTGGTCTTCTCACCCCCAAAGCGCTCGTCCACCACCTTGTCCCCATCATCATCGCTCTCTCCTGCTGCAAAGAAACGGTTAACACCACTCCATCAACTCTTCACAATCTTGCACACTCTCGTCGATTGATTCGCCCAACATACCTCGATCCCGATTAGCGGTAGTACTCATCCTCTTCAACTTCGCTTGGAATCTTTTGCTCCCTGACCGATCAATGAGCGTATCCTGTCTCGCCAGCGTAACACTTGCTAGGCCATCTTTGCTCTCCTTAGCGAGCACGACTTCGAGCCGCTTGATCTCGGCCTTGTAGCCGTTCTCTCGCTGAATCCACTCTTCGCTGATTCCTCGGAACTGCTCCAGTTCTTTCTCTCGAAGGTTCTTGAGCTCAGCTAGCTCTTGTTCTAAGGCTTGCAATCGCTTTGTAAGGTGTGCGAAGCCCTCGAGTACGTTGTGAACGAGCGAGTTATATCTTTCACACCAAAATGATTCGTTAGTAACTCCCTCATCATGCCGAAGTAGAAAGAGAAAGAGGTGACCTACTGGACAGGAAGAGGAGCCATCGAATCCCCCTTCGTCATCATAACCGCTTGCAACGTCTCCGCCATCTGCATCAGATTGGGGTTGTGCCAGGGGCTTCCCCTAGCGGCATTCCGCCTCAGTCCTCCCAGCCAGTCATCCTCATCATCCCCATTTGTTGCGCTCCAATTTCTAAGCGGCAACGCACTCAACGATGGTGCCGGTGCTGCCGCAGCACTCGGCGTCAGCGGCCGGAAGAAGGTAAAGCGGCTGGTGCTGCCACCGCTTCCCTCACGAGGTCGCCCGGGAGAGAACGAGGGTGACGATGGGGCGGTGGCCGAGGGCGAATCTGCTCCATTCCCACTTGCTCCGAGATTAAGCAAACTTGAGACCCGTTGGAAAGTAGCTGACGGCCTCGACCTCAACAATCGGCTACTGGTGCCAATAACATTGCTATCGCTTGGCGATTTCTGATGAGGCAGTGATGGTCGACGTAAGCTTGCCGTTGAAGCTCCCGAGGAGAAAACACCCGCTGTGGGAGTTTTGGGCGGCAGTGGTCCAGACCCGCTGGTGTTGCCTCCGAACGCTGTTCCCCCGCTCCCGCTCCCGCTCCCCGCGTTGCTGACTACGTGGATGCCACCGTCATTGTTATGGTGTTTGCTGGTTGACGCGGGATGAGATAAAGGCAAGGCGTTCTCGTTACCGTCGATAGTCGTTACACTTGTGACAGAGCTATCCTCCGATGTAGAAGTGATGACGGGCTGCAATTGTTGCTTGGCAGGTTGCGCGCGAGATTGCTGGAATCTACGCAACCAGCTGGTGCTGTCGGCCATCCCGCTCGCTACGTACGTTTTGTAATATCGGCTGCTGACCGAACGTAAACTCTGGCGGAACTCCTCCGAGCGGGTGGATAGTCAGTTACCTCGAATTTGCGCGCTGCCGTTCTCTCACCACTTAGTCTAGCAGCTCAACATCGATTTGTCGGGAACAGAGGCGACAGCGAATGAAAGCGTCAAGTGTTACCGGGTTTTGAGTGACCTAAATGTGCCACACTTGGCGGGGTAGACCGACGGGCTGGTCGATACGATTTGGATGCGGTATGCGGTTGAGCTGAGAAGGTTGGCAATCAATCAGAATCCGATGGAAAGCGGGATGCAGACAGGGTTTGGTTCAACAGAGCTTGATGCCAGTATCGGGCTGTTCGGGTTAAGTCGCCAACCGCACTCGCCGGCAGCCATGAAGACATGGATTACTTCGGATGAAAGCGAACGCATAAGTGAATGGATTGCCCTTGCCTAGCAATCTGAAACTGCGCTCCTCACTTTCGGCTTTGTTGGGCTCCTTGCTCTCTCCTCATTCTTCCACAAAGCTGCTGCGGACATGACGGATAGTACTACTGTATGGCCAAGTTTGTTTCATGAACCATGTCGCCTTCCCAACTATATTCACAAACATCTCATTGCTGCAATCATCGACACGAATTTACAACATCTATGCGCGGAGTGACTTGTGACGTGGTTCATCACTAGTAATTTTCCCGACCTAGCGGGTCAGCGTCAATATCTTCTTTCCAGTCTTGTTGGGTTTATACAATCTACCAGCCTGTAACTTGCTCGACTGCATCGTCCAGACTCAATCGCAAATAGGGATAAAGTCGGACATGAGCGGCATAAACCGACTGACGTGACGCGGGATCGATGATAGGGCCAGATAAGCACACTGCCTTGAATGAGCATCTTGCTCTTGTCCCTTCCCTAGGAGTATCAACGGTCCGGCTCCCTCGATTATGTAGGTCGCAAGCATGAATTCATCCATTTTTCGCCGAGGTGCCGTCGCCTAATAAAACATATCCTCAGCTCTTCGCCTCCTCTGCCCTCTACCCTCCAATTTCTCAGCAAACAATTCTTTTCCTGCGTTGGTTCCTGTTCCGCTGAACTTCTCCGGGAATAGTTCTTTTACCGTCGTGCTTGTCGTCCCTGTCCCCTTGATCCTGAACCCTTGGTCGGTGCTAATGTTCTTGGTCGCCAGACCACGGATGCTAAAACCCCCGGCGGATGTCGTTGTTGTCGTTGTCCGCGTAATTCGATCTGCTAATTTAGCTATATACGTCGTTAATCATGGATTCATCAAAATGTTTCGTTTTTAATTTTTTAGTTGAGTCGAGCATTTGTCATCTGTTGCGTTTGGACGTATCTCGTGTGGCGGGCACGCGCAATCGTGCCTTGACAGTCGCCGCATCACCGCACTACTTTGCCAAGAAGGAAAGCCTTTACTTGCGAGAGGAGACGGTCTTCTCTAGGTTCACAAGCGTTGAAAAAACCGTGTTACCCCGCAAGGAGAAGCCCTCCTGCTTGGGAAAGTGCTGCGATGCTGTTGCTTCCGCTGTGACTGTTGTGAGTGATGTTGTTAAAGAAATGTCGAACATACCGCTTGCCAACTTTCCGACGTCCTCCTCCACTTGATCCATCATTGCCCTGCTGCCAATAGTTGAAGATACCTTGGTAGGGAAGAGTTCTTTGGGCTTGTTGGCTTTTGAGGGGAAAAGCTCCTTAGTGGTGTTGTCGTCTCTGCTTCGATCTCTGGGAGATTCGGTCTTGGCCAAACGCTCCTTGATCGCCCGACCCTTCTCCCGGCTGCGTAGCGAAGCAGCATCCCTGTATCTGTTGTCTCTCTCGGCGTCTAAATCCATCCGTGCGTCACTATCACGATCTCGTAGAGGTAATGCTGATCGATTGCGCTGGCGTGGCGATCTGGAGCGGCGGCGGTTAGGGAAGAGTTCCTTTTCTCGGTTCTGTCGCGAGTACGACCTCAATCTGTTAGATTCGGTCGAAAAATTGCTAGAAACCGAGCCACGCCGAGACCGCGACCGAGGACGTGTCGAAGCAGGCCTTGTGATGCGCTTGCCTAGCGCTGTCGAGTCGTCATCGTAAAGATTGACGTCAAATGGCTCACTCTCCTCTTCCTCAAGTTCTCTGCGGCGGTCGTTTCGGTCGTTCCTGTAGTTTTTCCTGCCCCGTGGGCCATCATCGCGATCCCTGTACCTCCGGTCTCTGAACTCGCCACGCCTCTTTCGCTCCTCTGGGTCGTACTCTGGATGTAAAAGGTAGAAACGGCTGCGGGCCGCAGCACCGACGACTTTCCTGTCTCCCTGGACGGCGAAGCGGACAAATAATACGCTATCTGGTTTTCCCGAGAAGCCCTTGGCGGGGACTTCTTCCAGTGGCGGTAGTGCTGTTGGGTCGGCAATAGCGACCGATGCGAGAGCAACGAGAACCTCCTGGGCAATAGCCTCGGACCTGAAGACAAGGTTTGCATTGGTGTCATCGATCCACTCCACCCTGTCGAGCTGGGTCAATCCACAGTGCTCGGCAACGTAGCCTTTGACTTGCTCAGGGTTGAATGTGTCAAGACCGCGAACGTGGACTTTCGTAGGGACAAGTGCCTTGTCGGACTGAGCATGGTCGCCGTTGCCGTGAACGTTGTCGGGACCGTCATCGTCAATCTCGCCGGGTTCCTGTAGACCAGAATGATTTATAAGTGACTTGTCTTGGCTCAGCTGAGCCGAAAAGGTAGGGACTGGTGCCAGCGCAAACCTGTTCCTCGCCCGTGATGATGTCGTGCGTGTATGCCTCAGGTATCTGGGGGATGTCTTGAACGTCATGAACGTCGTCCACGTCCATTTCAATATCTAAATCCATGACTGCAGACTGAGTGGGATTATGTGATGTCAATGGCGATGGTAGACAGTTGTATTCCGCGTCCGGGCGCAAGACAGCGGTAACTGGATGTTCGCGATTGCTGCCGGTTTGTTGATTGGCAGGAAAACAGTTGGAGTACTGGGAGCAGTGGAAGGTCCGCGAGATAAATGCTAATTGTAGGCTAGACTAAGTTGTGGTCATTGCGGGCGAATTGTGTAGCGGAAGGATGCGTGTGATCTGTCGTCGCGATTGTGGGAAGTGGAAAGGGTTGAAGTTGGCTCTGTCGTCGGTGGATGAATTAGATCGAGAAGCCCAGCCAGGCACGGCTGGCATCTCTGGGTCCGCTTGTTTGCTGGGGTGCTTTGGGACCCACACGCCCTATCGATAAGACAAGGTTCCACCCTCCCCAACTCGCGGCTGGGCTGTTCCAGGTCGGGTTGCGGTAGGGCAGAAAGTGGAGCAGTTTGCCTTGACTAAGGTTTCCACTTGGCATCGGTGAATGGGAGATAGGTCACGATAGAGGTATCAGGTAACAAAAGTGCAGCAACCAAGTAAACTTCACTTACTTACCTATTTTCATTCAATTCGGTACAGCCACCAAAACCCCAACGGCTTCTTCTGGAAACACAGGGACGGGATGCAGCTGATCAAATACATTAGGTATCTTTCAATATACCAAGCTGCTACACTATGTTCCACTAGCGTAAAGTACACGAACATCGGGCATCTAGCCCCAGGGACCACAGCATTAACAACCCGATACGTACTTCGAGAAAGCATGCCAGACACAGTCCCTAAAGTCCTGAATTGGGGCTTGTTCGCCAAGGGAGCATTGCCTCACTGAGTGAGGTCGGTCGAACTACTAAGAATTTGCAGTTTGAACGACGAGTGTGTGTTACAAGCGAACCATGTCGTTTGTGAGACAAAGTCTTGACCGCCCCTTTTCTTTTCGAGTACTGCCGGATATATCTTTTTTCTCAATTTTTTTTCACAAAGTTTTTATTTATTTATTGATTTATCAAATTTCTTTTCTCTCTCCTACTCTGTCAGCCGTTTCTAAGCTCTTTTCCCGAATGCTCATCGAAATGACACACGCCTCGCCCGTCTTTTGACAGCAGTGTCATCAACAGTTATGCAATCCGTTTGCACTCCGGAGGAACTTTGGCAACAGCTTCCAAGTTTCATTGATACATTCCTCATTTTGTCATCACGATTGCCATCATCGTCGTCACGCGCCTGCCTTTTCCTAGCTAATCGCCCCGAAAGATTTGTGTTAGAGCCTGAAGGTACCTGGGTTCGAACCAAAGTATCAACGAAGATATGCAGCTAAACAAAATGCAAATGAAATCACCGACACACACACAACATCTATAGGATAAATGCTGGATAGGTGACCGTGTGAATCCTGTTACCAGATTACCCCTTCTCGACCCGGAATTTGAAAAACATGGCCATCAAGTATATGAGTATACGCGCCCCGTTTACCCGTCTCAATCAAACGCCTGTTGTTGACAAATGTCGACATATGCCCTCCTTCTTTCCTTACATGACTCTCTGGGCACATTAAGTCGAGAAGCTGGTGATATTGTTCTACCGCCCTGATCCCAGTGCCCATCACTACTTATCGAGCTCAGATGCAAAACGTACATCTTCTTCCAGTCATGCCGTTTCAACGCGCCTTCGCAGCTCCAGGATGGAGCTGGAAGGTGGTGCTGGGCAAGTCCGCTTTACTCGGGTCGCTTCGCCGTCGACTGGAGGAGCGGCTGCCCCAAAGCTATTGGATCGAGACATTTCTGCGCGAGATCGTTTGAGGGAGGATGGCGGCGCCAAAGAAGGCAATACCGAGGTGATCTCACCGGCAGCGGGCCGTTCCCTGTCGTCAACGGCCATGTCGCCATCAAAAGGATCCGTGTCGAGCATCGGGTCATATGCCCACGCGGCTTCGAGGCCTTCCATGAATACAGGAGCATGCCTCAGCGTGTGCCACGAAATGGTGTCGTGCCGCATAGCAATGTATAGCGAGTCAATCATGCCACTCGAGTCGCAAACGGCACAGTTCTTGCGGAGGAAGTCGTGGTCGTAGCTGGAGTCGACTAGGGAAGTTTCAAGTTGACGCAGCATCGGAAGGCCCTGGAGTGGCTCGGCGTCGCAGAGTTTGGCTTGAAGGGGCATCCACGGACGGCCTCTCAGGAACATGCCAAACGCCTTCTCAACGGCCTTGACAAATGACGAAGCGTCCCTCCCATGAACAGCTACCATTTGGTGGAGACCCCGTGATAAGCATCGTTGGTACGCGTTGGTATTCCTCTCGAACGGCATGGGCACACGGGCATGGGGAAGCAGCGAAATATGAACGGTCCAGGCACCCGTCGACCGGGCAGAGAGCGGGGGTGTTCTCGTGGGATGGGAGATCAGAGTCCCGTCGAGCGCGGATCCTTCTCCATATTCTCGGACGGGCGGCCGCCCTACTTGCGAGTGGCCGTGAATATCGATGGGATTTGCGCCACCGCCTAAAAGGCCTAAAGGGCCTACAGGAAAGTTTGGGCGAGATATGTCCGATGTGGACCTTCTTCGATGGTGATGTCCGTTGAGTTTGGCCAGATGGTCGTCTTCCTCTGCGTCCCGTGCGTCCTGCGAGTCCTCCAGCTCTTCCATCGTCTCAGCAATGTTCTCGATCCGTTCCTCGAGGCTTATATCGGCGTCCCTGAGTTCCAGCTGTCCTGCCTGTAACTTGTCAAGCTGCTCATCATGGGCCCTCAACCTCTCGCACACTTCACGCAGTTGTTCGTCCTGATGTTGAGTCTTGCGCTCTAGTTGTTCGATTGACCGCCAGCTGATGCTGACATTCCGGTAGGTCCCTTTGATCTGTTCACCAAACTCTTCCCTACTCTTCTCCAAGGTTTCCTCCACGTCTGTCAACCTGCTGACGATACCTCTGGTCTTCTTCATGTCGTGCTCCACATCAAACAACCTGCTGACAACATCTTCAGCAATACCTCTAGCAACCTGCTCCTCAAGTTGCTGGATACGCCTCTTTAGCAGTTCGAGTTGGTCGCCAGGTAACGAGTCTGGCTCCTTCTGATGGTAGCAGGCCAGATGACCACACTGGCAGGTCGCGCCCGGAATGCCTTTCTGGCGAGAGAAGCCGACGCAGGCACATCGGTGGCCCTTGATTTCTGGTACGCACAGAATATATCGACAATGGCCCTTGGGCATCGTGGTTTCGTCCACTGGGTTGTTGACCGGCGCCTGGAGCGGCGATGGGGACGACTTGGCTGACATGCCCGTCAACTTCCCCGGAACGACAGTCGTCCTGTCGACCTCCTGACTCCAACAATGCCGTTCCTTCACAGGGTTGAGGTGAATGAGAACGGTGGAAGGATCGCGTGACGTAGTGTATAAATGACGCCCAAGGGTGGTGGTACCGGCTCACGTCAGTAAGTAAGGTAAGTAGGGTAGGTAGATAGATAGGTACTGTTCGTGGTGGTTACTATCGAGGCTCACACATGGCAACGAATTGCTGATGGGAGAATCGTCGGAGGTCCATGGAATGGTAGATAAACAAAAAGGATGTTGGACATTCACGGTCCAACTTGATGGGAAAGAGTCAGGGGTCTCTCGGTACTTTAGCGACACAAGTGGAAACTGTGGGGAGACGGGAGGTTCAGTGTGGGTTGATGACGGAAGTCAAGAGGAGCCGTTGGGCTTTCGAGCGGCTCCGTATGCGGTATGTATATCACCGGCCGGGGACAAGATCGCTGGGTAGGGCGCCTGTGGATTGGTCGACAAGTCCTAACGGCTGGGGTGTGCCCGAAGGGGTCAAAACAAGGCAGCCAGGGGGGAGAGGATGACCCAGGAACCGGCGATAAAGGGTGACCTGTGAAGCGGTGGGGGCTGGCTAGCTGGTCCCTCTTGTCGATGGAATTCTGGCACAATCTGACACAATCTGGTGCAATCTGGCACAAGCCTAATCTAGCGGTGGACCTGGATGTCGTGAGAGGGAGAGGTATGATAGGGAGGAAGGGGTGCAGCAAGTATCGTGGATCTTGATATGCCCAGCGAGGTTGCTACTTGATGAGGGGCCCGCCCTGGGCGTTGCGATGGGATGCTGAACGTGTGCTTTTCGTTCCGTGGCGCCGATAAGTGAAGGTCACGCCTGGTGTGAATCTGATGGTACGTACGTGGGCGTGAGGTGTACGCAGGGGACGGATGGACAAAACGGCCAACAAGATAGATCAAAGAGATCAGCGCATGCGTGGTGGTGGGGACAACCTGTAGACTCAGATACGATGGTCGAAGGCAGCAAAGGAGCCTGAGTCGGTAGCGGGATGATTGGATTTGAATTCCCGACACAATTTGTCCTGACAATTGGCTCGTGGTCCTGTTCACTGGTTGTGTTGTTGTAGAATGACGGGATGGGAGAGACATGGACTGAGATGGAAGGAGGGAGATAGCGGCGTGCACGCCCACCTCGCAGGGAAGATTCGAATGAGGGAGATAGTAGGTTGCGACAACGGGACCAGGGTCTGGGTAGGCGTGAGACGGGTTGCCGGCATGAACGAGGTACCAACACCCAATGCAGCAGCTCCGGCCACGGCGTTGTCCTAGCTTTTGGTTACTATAAATCAAAGTCTGACGGGTTCAAACCCGGAAACCTCAACGGCGTCCGAGTACTCTACATAAGGCCTCCGTACGATACCGCGGCCTTCTTCCCGATGGAGTGCAGTCTCTAGTGTAGAGTCCCGCGTAAAGGTGGGAGGGGGCCTCGAGGGGGCTTTGGGGGTAAAGCTATGATGGCGATGATGTTCGGGACTTGATATCCGTCGGTAAACTTGGATCCAGTTTCACCCCGTGGGGAGAATGGAGGGATTGTAGCCCTACACACCAGTGAGTTCCTAGATCACCTCACACATAGGTCTGACCTCGGACCAAAATCGGAGCGCCAAGACTGCGCCAAGACAGACCTTGGACCACGATCGGAGCGCTATAACGTGTATAAAAGTATGTATTCTTACTGTACTTCACTAACAAATAAATGGACCAATCCGGAACCTGTTCTAAACAAGTTCTTAAAAAAAAAAAAAAAAAAAAAACTCTTTTTATTTATATTAATTTATATTAAATTCTAGGACTTGTTTAGGACCGATCTAGGATATATCCAGTATAGGTCCTTATATAATAGAAATTTGAATAAGAAAACTTATACTAATAATTAGGAAAATAATTTATAATTAGTTTATTTTAAGGTTTTATTAAGAATAATATATTATATCTTTATATATATATAATATAAGTACTTAAACTTTTTAACTTGATTTTTAAATAGTTATTCTAAGATTGGTTAAAGATTTGTTAAGGATTGGTCCAAGAGTAGTCTAGGACTATTCTTAAAAATAGGTATTTATTACGAACTTAAGCAAGTTCGCGGGCCAACTAGGCCCTTGGGAGCACAAGCTGCCAAAAAGGGTTAGACTGTATAATTATAGGCTAGGATAGGCTTATAGTACAAGGAAGGCTCACAGTTAGTACAAATAAACCAGGCTCACGATAGTAAGCCGGGCTTACAACTACCGATAGTAAGCCGGCTTATAATAGTAAGCTAGGCTTACGACGATAGAAGTAACCCTCAACTATAGAAGTGAGTTAGGCTCACTATACTACGAAGGCGTTCGGGAATATAAAGTATGAAAAAGCGACTAGAGAATTCAAATTATCAAATAGTTCGATAGTAGTTAATATAAATTAATTCTTAATATTGAGATTAGTATTACGTACGTATATTTATTATAAACCTTTTAGCTTTACTAAATAGTATTAATATTCTTTATACTTTTAATTATTTTATTTAAGTAAATTAAACTCCCGTTCGTTATATATTAATTATTTCCTTTAGCCTATTTCGGATAATATTAAAAGTATTATCTTTACTTTATTATATTTATTACTACTAGAAATAATAATAATAATACTTAGGGTAAGTTCTTAAACTTTATTATTATTTTATAATAGTTTAAGGCTACGTAGGAATATATTCTCTAATTTAAAATTTAATTTAAGGTTAGACCCAATACCCTCGAAGCGAAGGGAAGAGAAGGAATTACCCCTATCGATAGACTAAGAATTAAATTATTTATACCTAAGGAATTCGATAGTTAATAGGCTGCCCTTATAGGATTCCTAATTTAAATATATATTTACCTCTACTTCTATAAAGATTAGTTTGCTTCTAAATTCGAAAAGATAATCTATATAGGTATTTAATTCGTAAATAAAGCCCTTACTTAATATAAGCCTATCCTTAAGGATTACTACGAGAATAGAGATTAGGTTTCGGATTTTACTAAGAAAATCTTAAGTTCCTATAAAGAATTTACTTAGGCCCTCTCCTAAATTTTTAGAGAGAAGGATAAAATTCGTAGGGTTTAAGAACGCCTAATTTACTTTCGATAAATTAAATCTACCTTAGCCTATACTATACTTTTTAAATAAAATTCCTTTTATAGTAATATTAATCATAATAAATTAATATAATTATTTTATAATAGTTTTAAGGAACGAATTAGGGACGAACTCTATAAAGAGGACCGCCTTAAAACTATTAACGCTTATATAAATAAGGCTATTCGTATTAACGATTAATAATTTTAATGGGAATAGGAGAAGAAAGGGAAAATAATTATTTTCGTCCCTCTTAAATCTAATAATATTAATATTAAGAAAAAGAGGACTTAGGGAATTTATATCTTTAGAATTATTTATTCCGGACTTATAGAAATCGATACGGCTTAAATTAATTAAAGTAAATAAAACCTTTTAAAAGTTAAATATTTTAATTATAGTAAAAATAGGTATATAAAGAAAAATTACTGTATGCCCAAATAATTAAATTAGAAGAAAGTAGAAATTATTATAATAGAAGGAATTAGGGTAATTAAAATCACTAGCGCCGAATATAGTTAAAATAATTTAGAAGACGCTATAGATAAAATTATAAATTTCGATTAAGAAATATAGTAGGAGGCTAATAATAAATATAATTAGGAAGGGTCTAATAAGGAAAATCCTAAGGAAGAGGTATAGGATATTAATATACCCTAAGTATAAATATACTAAACCCTAATATAGAAAGAAATCGGTAATCTCCCTAATACTAACCGAACTCTCCTTATAATTATATATATAATAAATATTACCCCTCCCTTAATACTTTTACTAACCTCTATAATCGAAGAATATTATACCTTCGAATTTATTAATTTATATTAGTATAAATACCCTAATAATTTTACTAATAAGTATTAAATAGAGTTATTATAATACTATTTATATAAAAGTAGGAAGGATAAATTGTAGGACGACTTCTAGAAGAAGCGTATAATTATTATTAAAGGGGAGTTTAAACTATTTAAGAAAGAGTCTTAGAGCCTTCGAAAATATATTAATTAATTAAAAAAAATATAGTCTAAATATATTCCCTTTATTATACTTACTACCAGATATTATAATTCTAATATATTATTAATAATTATTATAAGTACTATAGAAAAAAATAGAATAATTATTTTTAGCCTACTAAAAGGTTAGACTGGTAAAAATAACCTAAATTGGTTATACATACTTTCAACCGAAGCGATTTATAAATTACCCTTATTATTAATAAATAATTTGTATTTAATTTACAACCTTTCGTAAGGGTTAATAAATAGCTATTATTTAAGAGATTCGTTATTCGCCCTTATAATATTTATACTTATATAAAATAGGGAAAAGCCGACTATTATTAATAATAATACCCGATATCCAACTACCCTATCTATATAAAATAAAAAGCCTAGGATATTGAAAAGGAATTCAATAATTATATTTAGAAAGTTAGAATAATCGAGTATAAGAATAAAGAGAAAGTTATATATATAATATAATTATAAAAATATAATTTGCTAAACGAGTTTAAATTTAAGGAAGAGGATACTCTTAATAATTATTATTAGAAATTAGGAAACGGTTCAAAGCCTTTAAGGAGGCCCGATAAAAATTAAACCCCTAGATAAAACGGATTATTCGGCGATATAACCGTTAGAAAAATAAGATCCGGGACCCTATAGTACTTATAGAGGTTGTAGTTATAAAAGAAAGGAAGTAGGACTAGAGGCTTAAAATTATAATTTATTAGTAGAATTACTAAATATTCGTATTAATAGATTTTAAAATTTAATTAAATTTTATTATACCTAAATTCGTTTTATAATTAAAAATTCCCTAAGGAAAGAAAAAAGTACTCTTTATAATAAAAGGGCCTTTTGAAATATAAATTATAAAATAGGAAATATTATTACTCTTTATTATAATAGAAGGTAAAACGGTTGAAATTAGTTTCAATATTATTAAAATAGGGCTATTTAAGGATATAATCCTAAGGTACCTATAGTATATTATATATAACCTAAATATTAATTGGAAGGAAGGTAGCTACTTATATTTTAGGACGTACCTAATTATTAATAGGAAAACCAGAGTATAGAAGGAAGCGAACTATAAAAACGCTATTCCTATAGCCCTACTGCAAATAGTATAAAAAATTATAATTTATATTATTAATAAAAGTAGTAAAATTATAGAAGAAGGGTTAATAATATTAGTAGAAATATTAGTAATTAGTATTTAATATAAATTTAACTATTATTAGAACTAATAAACAGAGAAATTAAAAATAATAATCCTAGAAGAGTACTAAAAATACCCGCCTTTTATTAGTAAGTACTTTAAAAGATTATTACTATAAAGATTATAGGACTACGAAATTAAATTAAAGGAAGGAGCTAAATTTAAATTCTTTAAAATATATTATATTAATAAAAAGTAAAATATAGAATTAAGGAAGTATTTAGATAAAAACCTAAAATAAGGATATATTCGGGAATTTATATTGCTAATAGGGTACTTTATCCTCTTTATACCGAAGAAGGACGGAAAGTTACGCCTTTATATTAATTATAAATAGTTAAATTAAAAGACCATAAAAAATAATTATCCCCTACCTTTAATTTTATATATCCGAAGTCAATTAGGAGGAGTATAATATTTTACATACTCTAATTTACTTATTACCTATACCTATATCCGAATTAAAAAATAAATAAATAGAAAATAATATTTTATATACCCTACAACTACTACGAATATTTTATTATACCTTTTAAGTTAATTAATATATTTATAATATTCTAATTTATTATTAATTATATAATTCGACCCTACTTTAATAAATTTACTATTTACTACCTAAATAATATCCTTATTTATTCTAAAATTCTTATAGAATATAAAGAATATATAAGGAAAGTATTAAACGTATTATACGAATATAAATTTTCTATTAATATAGAGAAAAGCGAATTCTATATAAAAAAAATCGTATTTCTTAGGTATTTAATTTTAAAGAACAAAATTAGAATAGAACGAAATAAAGTAAAAGCTATACGGAATTAGTTAACGTTTAGGAATATAAATAAAGTTTGTAGATTCCTAAAGTTTATTAATTTTTACCGTATATTTATATAAAACTATAGGAAGATTATAAAGCCCTTATACAAATTCATTAGGAAGGAGGCTATTTTTATATAAAGAAAGGAGGAAATAAAAGCCTTTAGGGCTATTTATAATGTAATTACTATAGACCCTGTACTAAAACTTCCTAACTTAAATAAACCTTTCAAAATTAAAATTAATATATTAAATTACGCTATCGGAGGATAATTGGAATAGCGTAACGAATATAGGAAATTATACCCTATAATTTTCTTTTTTAAGAAATTAGAAGGACCCTGTTACAATTATCCTATTTATAATAAGGAACTTTTAATTATTATTAAAGCGTTTTAAAAATAGAAGCTATATTTTAATAGAATTACGTATAAAGTATAAATTTATACCAATTATAATAACTTTTAATACTTTATAATTACAAAGGTATTTAACAGCTATTAAATATATTAGACTGAATTCTTATTAGAATTCAATTTTAGGATTAATTATAAGAAGGGATTGGAGAATGCCCGAACCGACGTTTTAAACTATTAGACGGACTATATAAAAAACGTAATAGAAGTTTTTATACCTTTATTTTAAAAATAACCGGACGGATTATTTATATACCCCCTATAGGAATAGGAAGAATATTACGCCGTTTATAGGGTTAAATTATAAGACCTTAGTTATTAAATTACTATTGCTACTCTAGAAGAATAATAAAAATAGGAGGATAGCTTAGAAGAAGGAATCGCCTTTTAGAATAATAAATTATAATATTATAATAAGGCCTATATTTAACTAAAATAATGAAAAACTCTTATTATAAAAATCTATAAATCTAAAATAGGAGGATATATAGGCATTGCTAAAACTATAGTAAAAATATAGTAATATTACGACTTTCTAAAATTAAAAGCCGAAATAGTTCGAATATTATAGGCCTATAAACGTTATAATAGGATTAGGGTTATAAGATATAAACTATATAGATTCCTCGAACCCTTAGAAATTATAGAAAAGCTATAGAGCTTGGTAATTATAAATCTTATTATTAAATTACCACTATCTATAAATACTATTATAGGAATTATATATAATAATATACTAATAATAGTAAATAAATTAATTAAATAGAATTACTTTCTACCCTATAAGAAAATATAATTAATAGAGTAATTTACGGATATAATTTATTGGAATATTATTTCAATATATAATTGGCTAAAGGAATAAATTACGGATAAGGATATTAAATTCGTATTTAAATTTTAATAAGTATTAATAACTGAATTCGGTACTAAGAGTAAAATGTTTATTGTATATTACCTATAGACCAATAAACAAACGAAAAGGATTAATTAAATTATAGAATAATACTTAAAAAACTATATTAATTTTAAATAAAATAATTAAGTAAAACTATTACCTATAGTACAATTAGTATATAATACCTCCCCTATAAAGACTACTAAGGTTTTACTTTTCTTTATAAATTACGGGTACGAACTAGAATTTTTGGAAGGATTAAATACGAATATTCCTAGGGCCTTAATTAAGGCCGGAAAATTATATATATTATATAAGAAACTTAAGGAAGAATTGGAATTTATTTAATAAAAGATAAGCCGGTATTTTAATTTAAAAAGGTTCGAGGGACCTCGTTTAAAGGAGGGGGATAAAATCCTTTTATCGATTAAGAACTTTAAACTATGGAAACTTAGTAAGAAATTTAACGACTAACGAATAGGACTATTTGGAATTAAGAAGAAGATTTCTAATATAGTATATTAATTAGATATTCCTAATATTATAAAATTAAAATTATACTTATTTTGTATTGTACTACTAAAACCAATACCTAAAAATATACGAATTAATATACGTATTAATATTAAAGATAAGGAAGAAGAATAGAATATAGAATAAATTTTAGATTTAAAAGTAGAAAAAAGAAAATTAGAATACTTTATTAAATAGGAAAGATTCAATCCCGAGGATAATATATGGAAGCCCGTTAAGAATTTAAATTATTTTAAAAAGTTAAAGGAATTCTATTGGAAGAACCCGGATCGGTTAAGGCTAAAGGATTATTTAATTAAGAAGCTATGTAAACCGGAATATTTAAGACCGCTTAATTAACGGGCGGGAAAAAGGTAAATTCCCTTACCGGCTACTCTATAAGTAATAACTCTAATTCTAAATTAATTACCCGCTCCTCTACCTTTAAAGCTTTTAATTTAATTATATTATAGAGAGATAATTTACGGCCCTAAAAAGCTAAATCTTATAATTACTATTCTAAATCTAATAATTAAATAATTTACGTCTTTAAATCCTTTTATTGGGTATTAATTTATTTTAAATATTCTTTAATACCCTATAACAATATCATTTTTATTTACCGTACGTAATCGAATATTATAAAAATACGAACTACTATAGTAAATTAGCCAAAAGCTAGTAAAAATACTAAAAAAGAACCTACGTTTAGTATCGGTATTAAAATTTTTATAAGGACGTATACAATGGATATATTCGCTATACTTCATATTATTAGAAAGCTTCTTATAAAGAAAATTATATTTGGTATAGTACTAGTAAAATATTATAAAGGTTCCAAACTTCTCAATATTAGATAATAAAGTCCGACGCTTCAATACTAATTTAAACGGACGCTTCTAAATACGAAAAAACAATATAACGGAAGATAATAATAAAGAGACTTACTATATTTAATTAAAAAAATAATATTAACGGATAAGAGTAGATAGAAGATTAAAATAATTTAATAAGCCGTTAAGGATAACGGTTAGGGAGGGGAGGTATTGTATTACGAATTTAAGCGAATTTATAGGCTAATTAAACCCTTAGGAATATAAACTATTAAAAAGGGTTAAATTATATAATCATAAGCTAAGATAGACTTACAATATAAGGAAGGCTTATAATTAATATAAATAAGCTAGGCTTACAATAGTAAGCTGGGCTTATAATTACTAATAGTAAGCCGGCTTATAATAGTAAGCTAGGGTTACAATAATAAAAGTAACCTTTAATTATAGAGGTAAATTAGGTTTACTATACTACGAAGGCATTCGGGAATACGAAGTATAAGAAGGCGATTAAAGAATTTAAATTATTAGATAGTTCGATAGTAGTCAACACAAATTGATTTTTATTACCGAGACTAGTATTACGTACGCATACTTGTTATAAACCTTTTAGCTTTACCGAACAGTACTAATAGTCTTTATACCTTCAGCTATCTTACTTAGGCAGATCAGACTGCCATTCGTTACAGTATTCTTTTTACTTATAATAATTAAAATAAAATAAAATTAACTAAAATATTACTAAAAGAAATATATTATATTATATATATATATGGATTTGTGCTATTAAGTATAAGAGTTATACTATATAATTATATCAATTTAAACTATTAAAATTTTTTTTAATTAAGTTTTAAATAACTTTACCAAAAATAAATCAAAAACCAGTCCAAGACAGGTCCAGGATAGGTCTGGGATAGGTCTGGGATAGGTCCGAGATAGGTTTTTAGTATACCTGAATTTTAGTTTGATATAACTATTAAGAACTCCGGTATCGGTCGAGTTTTGCTTACAGTGTGGGGCAAATGTCTTGGCGCAGTCTTGGCGCTCCGTATGTGATCCGAGGTCAGACCTATGTGTGAGGTGATCTGGGTGCTCCACACCAGTCTACCCACCACGCCGGCGTTGTTGGAGGAGCTGTAGCGCTAGGTTCAACGGCCACCGACGACCAGCCCACATCACCACGAGATGAACAGGTACTTGGCCAAGGTACCTACCTACAATCTGCATCTGCAGTCATTGTCAGAACATTGCCGTTCCTGGCATTGCCTCCCGCTCGGGGCGTCGAAGCGTGTCGTTGCCGACTGAAATGGACACCCGAACAGGGTTACAATCCATTACCTCTCCGGAAGGGCAGGTGCGCAGCGCAGGTATTGAAACATTTGGAGTCAGGTTCCAAAGGGGAGCCAGGCCGTTGTTGTGAGTTGTGATTGTGGGGCCAGGGTGGGAGGAAGGATGTGGATGAACACCGCGGCGCTGAGGGAGGAAGTGGAGGGGAATCAGCAGGGAAGGAAGCGGGGGTTTTGCGGGTGGATGATTCTAACTTGGAACCGGGGCTCCAGCAGGGATGGCCACCCGCGAAGCCATCAAGGTCACTCCCCTCGGCGAGACCACTGGTGTACCTGATCTGTGCGCTGTTGGGAACCTGCCCACGCCTCCCGGGGCCTCTAGTGTACTGGCCAACCACAAGTCCCCGTGCTGCGACTTTATCAAAAGAGAGTGAGTGACACTCGAGATGACACGCACAAAGCGAAGCTACATGGATGACGAGGAACAGGACTGTGGGGGTCAAGATAAGCGCATTTCCGGCTGGCGTGCGGCCAGACCCTGAACAACCTCTCTCACACAGTTTCCAGGGGCTTTTGAGACTCTGCCGGATGCTGGAATATCTCCCATTCGACAATTTGCCTTTGCTTTTTTCTCCCATGTACGACTCCCACTGACTTGATTCGAATAAGGTATGTATTTGCACGGCATTCCTCCCGTCCTTTTTTGACCATCTCATACCTGGAGGACACTGAACCCACCGGACTGGCTAAGGAAAAAAAAAAAAAAAAAAGTCCTAATCTCGAATCTGCTGCAGGACAGCGACAGTCGATGTGCCGGTGCGTCTGCGGCATAGCAATCCAGATATCTATGGAGAGCCATCACCCGCGTAGCTGTGTTCCATCCCAAAAAGCGATCGACAACCTGTCTTTCCCCTTGGCAGGCAAGAGGCATTTAAGAGACGCATCTCAGTCGAGACAAGGTACGCTCTGACACCTTTCACCGCCTATCGCACGGCATCGTCATCGTCGTTGATTCACGATTTTGCAAGGAATCTTTGACGGCGTCGTAGTACTTAACTTTTTTTNTTTTTNTTTTTCTTTTCTTT